CAACCAGTAGGATAATTTACTTTCTTTTGTCTAGCAGTGTCCATCTTAAATAAGATTTGCTTCTGCTTAATGCATTATTCCTTTCATGGTCAGTAGTAAAAAAGCTAGCAAGCAATGAAACAGAAGTCAACAAATAACATAATTTTTTTAAAAGTACTTTTATAAGCCTTAAAAGCATTTTCACAGTACAATACTAAAAAGTTAACAAAGATTATATAGAAGAAAAGGGAGGAAGGGAGGGAAATCCACATAGGCACTGAGACAAGAATAACACTTCTTGCTTACAAACAACATGTTTCTATTACTATTTACTTTATTTTCCTCAGAAATCAATAGAGAATAATGGAAACTATTTTTGTAGCTTTCAAAAGAAACATAAAAATATTCCTTATAACTTACCTAGCTCTCTTTTACACTACCTCACTCACTTCTTGAGAGAACTGCTTATCCCACCAATATTTCTATGGTTCTGATGGGGCTGCTATTGTGGTATCTCATTTCCCCTAGCCATGGGTGGGCTTGTCATCTGACCGAGACAAAAATTTTACCGTATTCTCCTCAATACAGTGGGCATACATAATCTTAGCTGGGGATTAGAGGTGGAAGGAGGGGATTTCTTCTCCTATCCCATCTAATAAAAGAGAAACATGGTAATTAGTCGTACGTCCGCTACCCTTCCCATTGGCTAATCAGGGTGATATGCAAATTAACTGCCAGCCAAGATGGCGGCCGGCAGCCAGGCAGCTCGAAAACTAACATGGCGCTTGCTTGCTTCAGTGACGGAGGACTCCAACGTTCCCCGCCTGCCACTGCAGGCCTCTGAGCTTGCAGTTTGAAACATTGTTACAAATATAGAAGCTAAACAAAACCCCAGAAACCTGCTTTCAGCCAGCCGGGATCTCAGAGTTGGAGTTGAAACAGTGTTTCGATTATAGAACGCAAAAAAACCAGATACCTGCTTTCAGCAGCGGAGGCCTAAGAGCTGGAGCCAAGCCTCAGAGCTAAAGCTGGCCCAGAATAAAAAAAAAGAAAAAGAAAAAAAGGAGCGGTTGGAAGCTTCAGTCACCCGCCAACCTGAAAACAGCCCTCAGCCCCTCACCCAGACTGGCCAGGCACCCCAGTGGGGACCCCCACCCTCAAGGGTGTGTGACCAGCTGCAAACAGCCATCATCCCCTCACCCAGGCTGGCCAGGCACCCCAGTGGGGACTCCCACCCTGATCCAGGACATCCTTCAGGGCAAACCAGACAGCCCCCACCCGTGTACCAGGCCTCTATCCTATATAGTAAAAGGATAATATGCCTCCCAGCACCGGGATCAGCAGAGCCGCGAGGCCTCCTGGCACCAGGATCAGCGGAGCTGAGAGGCCTACCGGCACCGGGATCAGCGTGACAGGGCAGCGCCCAAACCCCCTGATCGCCCTGCGGCTCTGTGTGTGACAGGGGGCGGGGCCACAACCTCCCTATCCGCCCTGCTCTGTTCGTGACAGGGGAAGACACCCCAACCCCCTGATCAGCCCTGCTCTGTGCCTGATAGGGGGAAGCTCCCCAGCCCCCTGATCACCCTGCGGCTCTGTGTGTGACAGGGTGCGGCGCCCCAACCCTCCCCCCCCCCCCACCCCACGGGCCCTACTCTGTGTGTGACGGGGTAGAGCCATAACCTCCCCATCGGCCCTGCCCTGAGTGTGACAGGGTGCGGCGCCCCAACCCCCTGATCCGCCCTGCTCTGTGTGTGACAGGGGACGGTGCCCCAACTACCCTATCAGCCCTACTCTGTGAGTGACGGGGGGGGAGCTCCTCAACCCCCTGATCAGCCGTGCTCTGTGCGTGATGGGGAGAGTTCCCCAAAACCCCTGATCAACCCTGCTCTGTGCGTGACAGGGTACGGAGCCCCAACCCCCCTGATGGACCCTGCTCTGTGAGTGACAGGGGGTGGTGCCACAACCTCCCCATCGATCCTGCCTTGAGTGTGACGGGGGCGGTACCCCAACCCCCAAATCGGCCCTACCCTGAGCGTGACTGAGGGTGGCTTCACAACCTCCCGATCTGCCCTGCTCTGTGCATGACAGGGGCGGCGCCCCAACTCCCCAATCAGCCCTGCTCTGAGCCCGACCAGGGGCTGCACCTAGGGATTGGGCCTGCCCTCTGCCACCCGGGAGCAGGCCTAAGCCAGCAGGTCGTTATCTCCCGAAGGGTCCCAGACTGCGAGAGAGCACAGGCCGGGCTGAGGGGACCCCCTCTCCCCACCGAGTGCACAAATTTTTGTGCACCAGGCCTCTAGTCTATACATATAAAAGCCTAAGCAACTGTTCAACCAGTAGCTATGATGCACACTGACCACCAGGGGGGCAGACGCTCAACACACAGGCATGGAAACATGGAACAGACTGATGAATCTCAGAAGGGAGGTGGGAGGGGGGAGAGTGGGATGAGATTAACCAAAGATCTTATATGCATACCAGAGGCCTGGTGCACTGATTCATGCGCCAGTGGGGTCCCTCGGACTGGCCTGCACCTTCTCGCAATCCAGGACCCCTTGGGGGATGTTGGACTGCCCATTTCAGCCCAATCCCCGGAGGCTGGCCGAGGGACCCCACCAGTTCACGAATCCATGCACTGGGCCTCTAGTGGTTAATAAAGTAAGCTTGATCCCAGAATTGTAAGCAACCAAAAGAGAATGAAACCCAAAGGGAAAAATGGAATGGGAGAGAACAGTTCTAGATGATATTTTCTTCTCTAGATTCAGAAAAATCTAGAAACTAGTTCTAGTCCTTGCTTTTCCATGGTTTAGTCATCTAATAAATCCCTCCCCGCCTTTTTTTGTTTAAACTAGCTTAAGATTTGTCAGTTACAACCCAAAAGTCCCAATACATTTCCTATATTCATTTAGGCTTGATAAATATAAAAATCATAGTTTTTTTTAACTGCCTTGTTCTTACAAATCTTAGTAATGATATATCTTAAATGCTCCTTTTCTCCTGCAATTATTTTTCAGTTTTATTGGGGTATAATTCACCAATAGAAACTGTATATATTTAAGGTGTACAACTTGATTTTTTATATACATAATATGGTAAAAGATCACCACAATCAAGCTGATTAATATATCCATCACCTCAGAGCTCCCCCCCTACAATTTTAAATATATACAAGTAAACCTTTAAAGAAGCATAAAGTACATGTATTCTTTTAAGTCATTATATGTAAATAAACCAAAAATATATAGCGCATATACATGAAAATGACACATCTTCAAGATTTAAAAATGCTACATTATTGTAGATATAAACACTGTAAATTTAGAGTGCTCTAAATTTACAAAAAAATGTTTTCTAGTAATAATAAATTAACCTTAGTTCACTGTATCATTTTTACTTTACCATATAAACTTTTACATTTTAACTTTTTAATTCTTGTAATAACTTCGCTTAAAACACAAACACATTGTGCAGCTATAAAAAAATATTTTATATTCTTATTCTGGTTTTTCCATTTTTAATTTTTTTATTTTTAACATGTACACATTTTTTATTGAAACTTAAGACACAAGCATATACATTAGCCTAGGCCTAAACAGGGTCAGGATCATCAGTATCACTGTCTCCTACCTCCGTATCTTGTCCCCCTGGAAGGTCTTCAGGGGCACATGGATGGAGTTGTATTCTCCTATGATAACAATTCCTTCTTCTGGACTACTTCCTGAATGACCTGCCTGAGTCTCTTCTTGAGGTCCCACTCTTTTCAGAAATATGTCTACAATGGTTTACTTGGTTTATTCCTTTTTTTCTCATAGATTTGCTTGTAAGCAGATAATGTACGATAAACATTCCTTTCTATTAATGAAAACCTTTTGGTCTTAGAGTTTAGGTTTTCAAACTTTTTAAGAAGCTTGATGAGGTCTTCAGAAGCTTCTTCTAAATCCTGCACTGGGAATTTTTTTCTTGTTCTCCTGCAATTTCCTTTTCTCTTTCCTCTTCTTCATCCATACATTCCTTTTCCAGTTCCAACTACTCTTAATTAGTCAATTCTTCAGGAACCACCTCTAGGAGTTCCTCATTGCCATTCTCATCCACATCCTGGTTAAAGTTGTTTGCCATCTCAACCATAGCCTTGGGTATTTTTGCAACCTCTGCGCTAAGATACTAGGCAACAGTAATTTTTCAGCTCCATTATAATATTATGGGACTACCATCATACATGTGGCTCTGTCATTGACCAAAACATCATTATGTGATGCATGACTGTACACAAAAATAATATATAAAACAGTAAGAGTTTCACAAAATAGTACCTCTTCTATGTGAAGTACTATATTTTTTACTATGTTTTATAATGTTGATAAATATTTCAAAACCTACCCTTATGATGTAGTGCAATTTGAGGCACACAAAAAAACAAATTAAGTTGTGACTTTTTCTGCCATGTTTCAATGACCACTCATCTATCTGTTTTCTGCCCCTCAGACAATTGAAATCTTTCATTCACTGATGACTCTCCTCTCTTTTCCTTTCACTATATTTCTCTTTTACTTCTTTACTATAATTTTAGTAGGATCTAGAAGGGTAAAAACGATAAACACAAAGCCTGAGTCTGATCTTTAACTCAAAGCCCTCTACAACTATTTTTAAAAATCATGAGTTTCCTACCCTTTTTCTGGCTGATTTAAGGTCCCGCTGCTAATTATGATGGCCTTAACTGCTGTATTCTGGGAGTTACCATTACAGCTTCCCAAGGCAATCTAAGGAATTAAAAGGGAAAGGGGAAGAAAAAGGAAAGTGCTGATAGTGACATAAGAATCTATATAACAATTCAATTTAACTGTAAAACTAAATGTAAAATTGTGGTTAATTGTTCAAAATTAAACATAGTTAAATAATAAATGGAAATTTCTTTTTGAGGGAAGACTTTAGAAAAGGTGTCTTCCACAAAGAAAATAATCAAAAAACAATTTTCAAATACACCATGATAAATAATATTTTTATAAGTAATAACGAGTACTTACAAGGCAAGGCTACTCAACACATATTGTACGTGCTCACATTCATCTGGGAATGATGCACTGGCTGATGTAAAACAAGAAAGTGCAGTCTGAAGAACTTGAAGTTGCGGCAAAGGGACTTGCCATCTTCCAGCATAATCTTCAACCACCTGATAGAGAAGCAATCCAAAAAGTATATTATTATATAAAATGTCCTCAACATCTCCACTTTAAAATTTGAATAAAACTTAGTAGATAAATTAAAATATTAGTTATGCCTGAACACAAATGATGGGGGGGAAGGGTTTTTTATTGTTTATTTTTATAGTGAACATCTAAAAATAAAATTAACTATTTTCTTTGAATATTTGGAAAAGAAATATATTATATAAATGATTGTACCATTCAGCTGCCAAATATTTACCAAACTTTGTAGCACATACTCTTCACCTCCTATGTTTAGCTTTTGTCAAAATACTAATTAATATTAAAATAGCTAGATAGCAGAATATAGTATTAAAGTAAAAATAAGTATGTATTATTATTATCTTTATTTATAGGACTGAACTCTAAGCCTTCTGGCAACAATCGAGTATTAAAGATATAGTGGCATGATGCTCTAATTATGAAAGTTAAAACTGTACCATTTTATGGAGAAAAGAGTGCAGAATATAATCAGGCTTGGCTCTGTCATTGGGTAGTTCATTTTTCTTCTCTATGCATTACTTTTCTCACCATAAAACGGAACTAATGATTGTCTTGCATGCTTACTCTTAAGTTGAGATAATTTATGTAAAAACACTTTAGAATGATCAATCACTATAAAATATTGATATATATCATGTAGCTATAAATCTATATAAAATTATTCATATGCAAGACTGTTGCTATATTAAAACAATGTATTATATTTTTTAAAATTTATCATATAAAACGGATTGACCAACTATAGCCTGCAAACCAAATTTGTCATGCAACCTGCTTTTTGTATAACCCACAAGTTAAGAATGGATGTTATATTTTTAAATGATAAAAAAATATTTTGTGATGTGTGAAAATCATATGAAATTCAAATTTCAATGTCCGTAAGTTTTATTGAAACATATCCAGGATTATTCATTTATGTATTACCTATAGCTGTTTTCCTGATACAAGAACCAAGTTGAATAGTTGTGACAGAATTGGCTTACAAAGACTAAAATATTTATTATATGCCCTTTACAGAAAGTTTTCCAACTCTAATTTAAAAGCTGGGAAAACTAGTGCAGGGTAAAAACACCAAGAACACTCACAGCTCAAGGACTTTTCATACTAATCACTTTCTTTTGGGAGACAATTTTTCACTGGTATCTTGTATTTCTATAGTTTTTCAAAAAGAGGTTCTGATAGCCTTTATCTTTTATGTATTGGAAAAATAGATGATGTCTCCCTCCAGACAGTGAGCCTGTTTACTGTCCCTATAATCATGATGTCAATTCCCTCTAGAGCAGCCGTGGGCAAACTACGGCCCGTGGGCCGGATCCGGCCCGTTTGAAATGAATAAAACTAAAAAAAGACCGTACCCTTTTATGTAATGATGTTTACTTTGAATTTATATTAGTTCACACAAACACTCCATCCATGCTTTTGTTCCGGCCCTCCGGTCCAGTTTAAGAACCCATAGTGGCCCTCGAGTCAAAAAGTTTGCCCACCCCTGCTCTAGAGCAAAGGTCAGACAGATTTGCTTCAGACCACTATAAAAGAGAAGGGTTCTCTAAACTTGGGGTCCTCAGCTGTGATGAAAACCTACTCTGAGTGCAGGATCCACCTGAGTCACTCACCATCTTTGTGAGACTAAGGGGCAAGGAGAACCAACATAAACATGAAGCTCATGCTGCTTGCTGAGCAATCTATATATATAAAAGCCTAATATGCAAAGTGTCCCCTCAGGAGTTTGACCAACCAGGAGTTTGATCGCTCACTATGACATGTGCTGACCACCAGGGCGTGGAATGAACAGAGACCAGGGCCGACAGCCGGCAACCACAAGGGACCCTACCCATACACGAATTTTGTGCACTGGGCCTCTAGTGAGTAATAAAGTCCTTTATCTCTTATCCAGGAGTTTTGTCTTCTGCCAACATCCATGAAAAAGTGGCAGGCTTAGATAAACTTTCAGACCCTTCACAGTTCTTTGACAATTCCAAATTGCAGTACCAGGTAGCTAGCACAGGTCTCCAGTGTTTATAGGTCCATGTTTGGATAAAAAAGAAAGCTAGAAGGTATTATCTCTATGACCTAGTATCCCTTCCAAATCTTATAGTTCTTACTAACTGGAAATAAAAAACTACTACTAACTATGATGACCCCAAGTTGGGTAGACTTTTCTAAACCACCTTAGGGCAAAAAAGAATATTAGATAAACAGGGGTTCCCTGGCTTTAAATTTTCTCTTCACTGGAGGGTTTGATCAGCTTTATTGTCTCTTTTTTTGCCACCACACCACCATTTTTGTATGACATAAAAAATATGCAACTGACAGTCTCAGTTTTCCTGTTCTTAGTCCCAAATAGTTTATCCTAATCCATATCTATTTACAACCTTATTCACTTTCCATTTATGGGCTGGGTTTATCTCCTTAGAAGAGAAGCTTTCTACTTTTTCAACTTCTATTCTCATTTTAACTTCCCTCCTTCACCAATATTCAGCTACTAATACCCTGCCTGATCTAGCTGAGCTCAAATCTAATACAATAAAAGTCCTTGGGGCAACATCTCCAATATGTTTGCCACAATATCCTTGAAGAGACATAAACAAAATTGGCTAAATTCACATATTTTTTTACACTGTTTAATGTCATGCCAGATGCTGCTATTAACATAATACTGTACACCATTTTTCTTGGATATATTTTTCTTAAATATGTAATACTGTATACAATGCATTGCCCTTTTACTTTGAATATTTTCTTCTGTGCTATATGTGCTATCATAAGCATTCAGCTACAGACACAGACAGTAGGGTGGTAAAGGCCTGGAGTAGGGCAGGAACACTAGTGGAGGGTGGTAATGGGGAAAAAACGGGGACATCTGTAATACTCTCAACAATAAAGATTTTTTTAAAAACAACAACAAAGAGAAAGATAGTAGCTTTAAAAGTAGAGAAAACCAAACTTAACCAACCATCAAGGTAAATATGGCCAGCAAATAATAAAACGTATTATCCTAATTCTCTTGATAGGATACACCAAGAAAGAAACAATAGCATTTTTGTGGTACTTCTACCAAAGATGCATAAATTCATTCCAATCATGAGAAATCATAAGACAAACTCAAATTGAATGATATTCTATAAAAAAAAATTGATCAGTACTCTTAAAACGTGTCAAAATCATGAAAACCAAGGAAAAACTGAAGAACTATTACAGACTAGAAGAGACTAAGGAGAAATAACAGCTATATGCAATGTTAGATCATAAATAACCAGGAACAGAAAAAGCATTAGTGAAAACACTGGTAAATTTCTAATAGGGTCTATAATTTAGTGAATATTACACCAATGTTATTTTCCTGTTCTGACAACTGTACTACTTTCTATTAAATATAAGGTTAGCTCAATTTTTTAAAGTTATTTTAAAACAAAACTATTTTGTTCCAACCCTTTACCTCAATTTCCAATGTTCTCATTTATTTTCTGGAGGTTTTTTTTATAATATAAGCACAATTCTTCACATATTTTCCCTACTATGTTTCCTGACTACACATCAAGATTTACCCTTGCCTATGGGTATTTTTTAATAGTCACTTAGAAAAATAAAGCAGGTAGGTTGGCAGCACTGTGGAAAGAGTATAGGTTTTGGAATCTAACAGCCCTGACTTTGTCACTAAACAGTTGTGTAATATTAGCAGAATTATTCTTCTCAGTCTATAAAATGAATTTAACATCACTTTAATCACTGAGCTACTGACGAACTAAGTAAGATATATATTAAAATCTAGGGTAATTCCTGGCACAATAAGAAACAAGAGCTATTATTGCCAGTATACCTTGTTTTAAGAAAATGGCAAGATTAAGCTTACTTCGGTGGCTCTTTCATCACATCAGTCTGAACTGTTTAATTATTTGTCTTCAAGGATGATTAATTACAAATTTTATTTTTGGCAAGCAGACTGGCCACACCCAAATACAATCTATTCCAAAGGTATTGCTGCATTTCAACTGTTAGTTCAATACTTATTGAAAAATGAAGCATATCCTAGATACAGCAATATAAATAAAATGCTTCATGCCTGAACAGATAACTGAGGATTCTTTCTCTGCCTCCCCCAAATTCCCCTCACCCAGTTTTCCATTGAGAATCAAGATGACAAAGAAAAGCTCTATTCAAAAAAAGAAGAGTCACTTGTCATTTGATTTTTTCTATCAGGATAATCACGTAAAGAAAGTCTAAAATTAAAGTCTTATTTAAAAACCCCAGCAAAATGATTTGGAAGTAGATTCTAGTAAGTTAAAGTTGTTTGAAATTTGCAAGGGGTTAATCTTTGGTACAAGCAATCTAAAACCCAGTTCTTTTGGGGGCCCAATAAAGCATACTGTCTGTTTGGCTCATTACTCAAGATAATATTTATATAACATTAAGGCCTTTAAAAGGTTCTGTAAATGTAGTAAGACTAAACATTTAACAAAATGGAAAATGGAGTAACTAAGTATCTCTAAATCTTAATATACCATATAATCTTACTATTAAAAGGAATCTTCATCCTAACTGGTTTGGCTCAGTGGATAGAGCATCCGCCTGTGGACTCAAGGGTCCCAGGTTCAATTTCGGACAAGGGCATGTACCTTGGTTGAGGGCACATACCCAGTAGGGAGTGTGCAGGAGGCAGCTGATCGGTGTTTCTCTCTAATTGATGTTTCTAACTCTCTATCCCTCTCTGTAAAAAATCAATAAAATATATATTTTTTTAAAAAGAATCTTCATGATGATCTAGTCAAAACTACCAACCATAGAAGGAATATCACTCCCAGAAGGCTCTAATCTCCTTCTTGAGTTCTCTGCGTCCATAGTGTGAGGCAGGCTACATCTCCCATGGACTACCTGAGTACCTGCTTAAAGTCCCAACTTTCCTCTTAAGTACTTCCAAAGAAAGAAAGTAGGCAGGCTAATTTTTAAAGGCTTTAGATAAAGTGTG